ATAGTAAACAAAATGATCCATAAGTCAATATGAATTGAGTAACATCCATATATTAAATAGATATTAATGCTAAGAAATATCTATAATAATAAATGTGTAATATGCTAATTAGGCCGGACAGCCAAACGACCTTCCAGATGACCTTCCGGACGAAGCTGGGGCTGGGAGGGCCAAGGCAAACTGCTGCGGTTGTGAGGGCCGAGCCCCTTGCACGAATTTCATGCATCGGGCCTCTAGTATTTTATATATTTCACAATGAGCTTATTCTATTTGATGGTGAGCCACAATGGGTATATAATTATTTTGAATGGTTGGAATTTCTAAATTATTAAAGTTTATTTAAAGCACCAGGATGAAATAAACAAAGATGGAAAGTATAAGAGTTGTTGAGACCACATTAAGAGAATAGAGCCTATCCATAATTATGTGTTCTTAAATATCATATGTATATTAGGATAATACTCAGCCCATTGGGTTTAAGTACTTCTGGTACTTGACCTTTGATACTATGGAGAAAGGAGAAAGAGAAAGGAATAAAAGGAGGGGGGAGAGAAGGAGGAAGGAAAGTTAGTAGATACCAATATAAGCTTGAAGAAAGCCTACAGGATGCCTTCTCCTTTCTCCAAGCACCAACCCAGTTCATGAACAGGTACACGCCAGACTGTCCAGAAGAAAACAATGACCGGCTTCAAAATTAGATAAATAGGGTTATTTTATCAAAACATGGTGGCGAGAATATAATCTCAGCTGCCCTCTGAAAGCGCAGCCCAGGGCTGTGTGTATGTGGGTCTCCCCTGTCTCAGAGAGAATTTATTCCTTACGCATTCTAATATGTTGTAAATGGGAACAACAAGAGTGTTTATGGTTGTAGCAGAGTGTTAATTAGTTGCAAATAAGAGGAAGCTTCACTAAAACTAGATAAACAATAAAGAGTAGAACTCCAGTCCCAAGTCAATGGCTCAAACAATATCATTGATATTCTAATTGCTTTCTGTTTCTCCACTCTGCCTCTGGGTAGGATTGGCTTTTCCCCACAGGTGGCATCCATCATGGTTACAAGATGCCTGCCAACTTACCTCTGGGGTCACAGACTTCCTTATCCATATGCAAAGAAGAAAGAAAGAGGGCTATTCCCAATCACTTTCTCAGAAACACAAGGAGCCCTCCTTTCGGAGAGCCTGTCCTCACCCAAGCACACACAAACCTGTTCTTACACGTTCTTGTCCCCAGTGGATCCTATTCCTACCTACACCAGTAACTGTGGTCAGGAAAGGGGGAAGATTTACTCACTTCAGAGATGCAGACTTTCTCTTGAATTCAAAAGAGGAATCATCTTTCCCCAAGGATTGACATAGATACCTCAGTAAACCTGAAGATATTCTATGGGAAGGAGCATTGAAAACTGGTGAAGCAATCACGGTGCACATTGCAAAAGGTTTCCTGTATGCCTGGTAGTTTACTCCTGCGGTTCCAACAACTGCACCGTGGCTCTTTCCCGCTGCAACAAACTTGGATGGGTAGAGCCATAATTCTGAACATTTAGTGTTCCTAACAGTCACCTGCTGAGCTTTCTAAAAAAGCAGAAACCTGGGCTGACACCCCAAATTCAAATTTAGTGGATCTGGGGCATTTTAACAAACACCCAGGGTTATTTGCGATAGGCAATGGCTTAGCTAAATTCTGTGTATATCACCTTTTTTTATCACCATAATTTCCATGCATCCTTCTGCATTGGGACCAGGCAGAGCAATACAGATGCTGGAAGATGGTCTATCCTTGCTGCTTGACACAATCGCTGCAGGGAAGAAACCCCAGGTGTGGATGTTTCTCCTGGAGTTAGGGATTAACAGGACTAAGGAAGGGAATAAAACTGCTTAACTAAGTGCCAGGCCGATAATTAATCACTTTAACTACGAACAATCACTTAGGATAATCTCCTTCAGTTACTTCCTTGTAGCTTAACAGAACAGTAGAGTAGTGATCTTGGAATGGAGATAACAAATGCCCTAACCTTTGGAATAGAATGGATAGGATTAAAATCAACTGGTATAAATACAGATGTAACAGGACAATAAAGACCGAACCTGGCTAGAGAACCTGGCTAGGCTGCTGATCAACTGAACACTGTCTCCGTGTCATTCCTTCTTCACTGACTCCATCCACATCTTTGGGGACCCCTGGACCTGCTGGGGTTGGACCCCAACATAAAGAATCATTTATTAGTTTATGTTCATTCTGTTTGGTGCATGTATTTTCAGTTTTCAGGATTAGAGGAACTTGCATATGAAACTGACTTTTATACCTTCTGTGATACTTATTTCACTTAAATATCACCAAATAGGCTTCTTGTGTCCATTTTGAGGCTTACATGTACTTGTGGGGATCTAGCTGCCATCTGTTAATAGTTCATGACATTTTGGTTAGTAATACAGTTAGCATACAAAGCCATCTTTGTCAGAGATCATGGAAACAGTGAATTAATACCAATGTTACCCCTTCTATGTGCTTTTGTGAGTATGTGTGTGCACTCACACACACATGTATTATAGTAGCATAAATATTGGCTACTGACATCTGCATATTATAAGGAACCAAAACCATAGGGATGATGCATAGGAATACAGTTTGATGCAGACTTGTATACCTGTTGACTCTAATGTTTTAATTTGTAAAAAGGAAGCTTTCAGGTATAACTGGTTCAAGTGTAGGTTAGTATACTAGTTGCCCCAGGAGCTTTAGTTTTAAGGCATTTCTAATTGCCAGGACTTCTATAAAATTGAAAGTGTATTTACTTCAGTGCTTGCTCATTCTTTCCTAAAATTCCTTGCATATCCATAAATGATTAAGGAATAAAACTTAGGCTTACTCTTCCTGAGGCATCACAAACTTAGGATATTTTATTTAACTCCGTAGTCACAATTTCACCTTCCTATATCTAGCCCTGGATGGGAGGGGGCTTGAAGTTTCCCAGGGGGAGCTTTATTTTTCAAGGGGTTTTCTCTCTCAGACCCTACATCCAGGTGTTTTATTTGTGTGTGTGTGCGTGTGTGTGTGTGCATGCGTGTGTGTGTGTTTGTGTGTGTGTGTGTGTGTGTGTGTTTTCTCACCCATGTGCTTACGTTCAACTAACATTATCAGAGCTCTAGTTAGTCCTGGTTTCATGACCATTTCTGTCTTCACTTTTTCTCAGTGGCTATGGAATCAGCACTTTCTGAGACACTAAGGCAGAGTGGAAAGAGCTTGGTTTTAAAGTCACACTGACATGAGCTCAAATGCAATTGATCTTAGACAAATTGCCCAGTCACTCTGACATCATTATCTTCATCTTTCAAATAAGAGTAATTTTCATCTCATTGATTGCTTTATAAATTGAGTTCCACACATAAAGTGATTAGTCAGAAGTGGCCCCCCTCCCCACTCTTGAATCTCCAGCCTCTTACTGACAACAACCCATCTAAGTCAGTACTTCCACAAACTCCTATGGTCTTTTCTTCAAAAAGGAATTCCTGGAAGTTACCAATAATTTTTCTCTTTGAACATGTTACGATATATTTTGGACGTGATAAAGAAGCTTACAGCTTTTTAAATATTTATGTTCTCCACGCCATGCATGCCAACTGTGCTTGCTCTCTTCATTTGTTTACGTGCCAGGGAGACAAGCCAAGCAGCGTGAGAGGAAAATACTGTCAGGACACAAAGTGAGTTTGTCTAATGTGGACTCTGTGCAGACGTAACCTTCACGGGCAAGAGTGGAGACTGCTCCCTGGTTGCACAGGGCTACCTTGATTAACGAATCACCTGGGAACAAAGCTCCTTTATAAGCAATTCAGCTGAGTAAATTTATATTTTAAAACTTCATGAATCAAATGAAATAGTGCTGGCTGGTGTCACATATTTCAAGAGTAATATTCGGGGTAAGCTGCACTTGCACACGGAGCAGAAATCCCTACTCACAGAGTGTCTATTAGGATGAAGGCGATGGGGTGGATTCTAGGGAAAATTGTAAAGCTACTTCAGATAAACTCTTTCTTCACTATTGTAATCACCATGCTCCACCCCTACATACACCCATAGATCATTACCCTGGAGTCTTGCTGCTCCCTTTAAAAACAGAAATCAGAATGATTCACACTTTGAGTTACAGTTCATGTTACCTTGTATTGATGTTACTTAGTCATATCTCAATCCTGGCTAGAATTTGGTGCTACTGAAAGAGATTCTGACTTAACTGGCTTGAGAGGGGACCCAGAGTTGGCATTCTAATACAGATTGACGGTTGAGAACTACAGCTTTAACATAAAGTTGTATTTTCATCTTATGGCCTCTCCTATCATAATATCCATGTTTATCTGCTGCAGTGGGCTGTAGAATTCTTGTGTCAAAAACACATGGGGTAAGTTTATAATAAAGGTTCCTGTGGCCTTAGCAAAGAATCACTACTACTGAATCCTGAGATATGTGGTAGACGTGAGTGTGTTGTGTGTGTGGTGCGTATATACGTGTGACAGGGGCCCCGGGAGAACTAGAATATTTCTGCTTAACCAACAACCAAAGTGATTCTGTCTCACTCTTAAGGTTTAATAACTTTTATTTATAATTTCTATCTCATGGAACAACTTAATTATTTTTTGCTAATAAAAAGTTCCAACAAAGTGGTTGACAGTGGGGTATTTTCATGATGTGTATAACCTATTTTAAACAATATTAGTTATAATAATTACACTCTAAATAAGGTCAATCTTATTTGCAAAAGGAAAGAAAAATCAAATTTATACATCAGAATGGTCTTTTCCAATATATACATATTTTGAAGTATGAGTATATAATTGTTAATTTAATGTAAAAACCCATTAATCTGTCATTACCTAATTATCTAATGACAGATTTCTAATATACACACTGAATTTCAAGTTAAGAACTTGTGGTCATTGTTTAGAAATATGATATCTCAATCTCTCTTTTTCTGTCTCTCTCTCCCTCTGCTCCCCCCGGCACTGTAGCCTCAGATGAGGAAGAGCCAACTTCAGCAGGTAAAGTTACTATTCTGTAAAGATTATTCTTATTTAACTTAATGCTATTAATAATGGAGACACAATCCTTTGAAGTGCATGTCCTAAGCAGTGGTTCTCAACCTGTGGGTCGCAACCATCGGAAACCACATATAGCATATCAGATATTTACATTACGATTCATAACAGTAGCAAAATTACAGTTATGAAGTAGCAACGGAGATAATTTTATGGTTGGGGGTCACCACAACATGAGGAACTGTCAGGACAGTTTGTCTAATGTGGACTCTGTGCAGGCTTAACCTTAACGGGATCGTATTAAAGGCTCGTGGCATTAGGAAGGTTGAGAACCACTATAAGGTTTCAACCAGAAAACTGATATAGGTTTACTTATTTACTCTTATAATTTCTTGGACTTTCTACTCCAGAATAAATGATGTTGGAGTTATAAATAAAAATAGGAAAGAACAGAGAAAAAATAACACAAAATATCACATCAACATTAAACAATAAAGGAAATTAAAACATTCCATAAAATGCCTAAAACAATAAGCCCTACCAGTATTGCTCAGTGGTTGAATGTCAACCTATGAACCAGGAGGTCATGGTTCGATCCCCTGTCAGGGCACATGCCCAGGTTGTGGGCACGATCCCCAGTGGGGGGAATGCAGGAGGCAGCCAATCAATGAGTCTCTCTCATCATTGATGTTTCTACCTTTCTCTCCCTCTCACTTTCTCTCTGAAATCAGTAAAAAGTAATGTTAAAAAGTCTAACATAATAAAATGAGGAGAAAAAAACTAAAATGATAAAATGCAGAAAAAATAATAAAATAGGGAGGATAAAGTAAAATGATAAAATATACTGTCAAAACTGTGACATTCTATATAGAATATTGCATTATAAAATATATAACCAGCATTGAAAATGATATTCATTTAGGTTTAAGGATAAAAATTATGTTGTTGCCTTAAATACTCACTTTATTTAAAAACAAAATTTTGTATAACTATGGCATCATGACTCTATGTTTCTTATTCAGCTAATCATCTACTTGGTAAGCACAGGCTGAAGTGAGAACTGAGTATCATGAAGAATAAAAATGGTAGAGAAGGCATGGTATTTTCAACATCATTAAAACAATGATTCTGTTTAGAATATTTTCATGCTTCACTCAGTCTTGAGCTATTTTTTTTCAAACATGCCTTATTCTTCTCATTTGAACCTCTAAATTGCCATTGCAAAAGCAAGTGCCTTTTTTGTGTAGCGTTGTAGAGAAGGTACATAATACATCACATCTGCATTTCTCCTCATGGAGAAATGTTCTGCTCTGAATGTTCTGATGAGTTGCATTAACCAAAGGAACATTTTTTTGTAGCAACTAATTTACTAGGGCAGTTTCACCTAACACCTGTAACTAGCCGAAGCTTCTTTTATCTTAGTTAAATATTATGTTCAGGTATTTAAACATCTCATTTCATTTAGTGTAAAAACACATTTATGAACTATTCAAGAAATTCCTTCAAACTAGGTTACATCCTAATATCTAATTACAAACTAATGAGATTCATATTTTTTGAAGCTGCCATAACAGATACTGTGCCTCCAAATGAATCACCTTTAGAGGTGATAAATGAAATCCAATTATGTTGCTATTACTCAAATAATTTTTCAAAACTCCCTTTTGAAATTTTCTTTAGAATTTGTTTATAAGATAGCAACATCAGTTATTTCCTTATAGTTTCAGAAGTGTGCTACTGAATTCATAAGACTTTGTCTAATAAATATGTCTACAAAAACCAAAGATTTGCAAATACTAAGAGAGTGTGTGTGTGTGTGTGTGTGTGTGTGTATCTATGGGTGTGAAAAGCAACTCAGTTTGTAACTTTGAAATCAAATCAGTTTACAGCTTTTGAAAGGTGAATCACATTAAGGTTAAATTTCATGAAATAACACTCTTTAATAAAGTTAAGTCAGTGGCTGCTTCTCCCATGTTGCACAAATCCAATTATCATTTACTTAAGTTTCGTAATAGTGAGAGGCTTCATAAACTGATTATACCAATACTTTTGTCTATGTCATTTAGAAGATTAGGACATTTACATTAAAAACTTGACTGCTACAAATGATCTAATAAAGATATAATTTAATTTATTAACTATAAGGTATATCAAATCAGGCTTATTGATATGTAAATTTACTCATTCCTGTTAATTTATTTGATCTTTTTTAGCTATTATTTTACTTTTTTAGATATATGACATAAGTATCAAATTGACGAAATTACTATGAATTAAAACAAAGGCAAAAAATAGGAAGATTTGACTTTGGGTGATGATAAACACAATGAAACATACAGATTATGTTATCATAGCATTGTACATTTGAAACCTATATAATTTTATTAACCAATGTCACCCCAATATATTTTAAAAAATAAAGGCAAAAATGGAAAATATTATTGAATGAGATAAAAATCAGTCAAAACTGACAGTGGAAAGCTTGTGGCTATATGGAAATCAGTGGCAATAATTAGTCAAAATACAACTTAGTGTTTTTGTTCATACTACCTAAAAACAAATACTTAATTTTCTGTCTCTCTTGCCTATGGGTAGATTTTTTTATTTCTTTAATTGTCTTTTTTTAATATCAAAGAGACTGAGTTTGGGCTTATATAAAACTAGTTATTAATACTGAGTTAACATTTAGGAAAAATTATGATTAGAAAAATTAAATATTCAGATGAATATAAATGGTAAAATCTTTTTAGCAATCAGCTAAATTAAAAAATAGTAATCTACAAAAGTCATAGTATTCTTCATATGTTTATAAATGTTATCATTTACTTAAATGTAAAATTGTATTTGTGGCCTATCAACATCTGATACTATTGGGTAATGATGATAGAGGTTACTTCCTGGATACAATGGTTTATTGTAGACTCATTTCGACATCTGTGATGCCCACCAGAGATGAAGAAAAGAGTGATTTGGTATGACCAGAGCTTCAACATTCTCATTTGATTCTTCCAAATCTTTTGACATGTTTAATCTTTTAAATGCTCAGTTTGGCCATTGAGGAAGTACAACTAAGAACACTAATAATCTGCATATATAATGTAACATTGGCTAGCAGTAGTAAAGATTTGAAAGTATAGTTTTATGTAAAAATATATATTTATCACAATAATTATATATCTATATATTTATAGTTTAAATAAGCCATATATACGGCTTAACACAAATGTGTTATATATCTATACAGCTAAACACAGGACAGATTAGATATTCTTCTCTAACTTTGGAAATACTAAATTTTAGTTCTACAAAACATTTGTATTTACAGTGAATATTATGATTTTCTCCACTTTGCTACAGATTCCTTTCAGATCTTTTTCCTGTTTTTGTATGGAGTTTAATTCTACATGGCTGACGATACTCAATTATTCAACAGTTCATGCATTTTGAAAAGGAATGATATCTTACCACATTATTCTCTAATGAATAAGAGTTGCTTTTGCATTCTAATCTAGGGCTTTATTTCCTTGGGGGTCTGAAATAGAGCTTGGCATTCTTGTTTTTTACATTTGTTAAAAATTTTCTCCATTTTATATGGAAATGAATATTTCCCCTCTAGTGCCTGGATTAACTTTCCTAATTATTTTATCAAGTATATTCTTGTTCAAAAATATATGCTAAAGAGAATTAAATATTAAAACCTAATATGTAAAAGACCAATTTCTACAATCTCTTGAAAAACAAAATCATTATTTGTAGATTCTCAGTGCAACAGGGATGAAAACTTGGCTGCTTAAGATTTAGTTTTGGTCAGTTTCATGAAAAGAGCAAATAGTGCTTACCTTTTTAAAAAATATACTTTTATTGATTTCAGAGAAGAAAGGAGAGGGAGAGAGGGGTAGAAACATCAATGATGAGAATCATTGTTTAACCGCCTCCTGCACACCCCATACTGGGGATCGAGCCCACAACCCAGGCATGTGACCTGACCTGGAATCAAAACATGACCTCGTGGCTCATAGGTCAATGCTCAACCCCTGAGCCACAAGGTTGGACAGTGTTTACTTTTTTTTTTTGAAACAAAACTTCCTTATTGGTAGGTGTGTGATAGTGATTTTGAACTGTGAGAAAAATAGTTTTTTAAATCCCTGTTATATGTAGATAGTTGTTTTTTTTTATATGTTCACTAAAATAAACTTCACTGTAGTACAGAATTCTGGTAACAGTAGGAATCTGAGCGATTAAAGATTTCCTCTTTAAACAGGTTTAAAAATTAAAGTAATAAAAGAGGGAAAAGTAATATCTTTACTTACATATCTATGAATGTAGATATATATTTATAATCTATCATTTTTTACCCAAAAGTATAAAACTGGACTTGAAATAAATAGTTAAAAGTCTTAAGATCTTATTCTTAAGAAATATGTAAAATAACTAAAATCCCTCATAATCAAGCTTGAAGCTGTCATTTCTTCAGTAATGTTTGTAAATATCTAGCAATGCACATGTTTAAAAATATTTATGTATAGTGACATGATTATTTTAGTTGCAACTGAAGCACCAATTTAATGTTGCTTAAGTAATAAGAGATGTTATTGACTCACAAAATTTAGAATGAAGAGCTCATTGATGTCACTAAAAATCTGTGTGTTTTTTTTCTTTCCCCCGATTTTTCTGCTTTGTCTACTGTAGTGTAAAATTTATCTTCATCTTCAGACTGGCTTCCCTTGTGGTGGTGATATATCTGCCAACAGCTGCTGTGGCTGTATGCGTCTTTATTCGTATCCAGTGAGGACAAAGAAATGATATTTGTTCCCCTGCCTTCAAAGCAAGTGTCCTGAAATCCATTCTAATTGGACAGGCTCAGATCCCACCTGCCACCCCTGAAACTCCCAGCCAGTCAGGACATTCCCCTGTACCAGATCCTGAGGTTGATTTTAGCTCTCTCTTAAAATCAGAAGCCACGTGGATGAGGGGCAGGGTATACCATAGGAAAGGAAAGCTTG